CTGCCCAACCACCTGGCCATGGTGCACAGCTCCCAGGTGCTGGCCGCTCCCAGCCCTGCCAAGGAGCAGCCCCCACCGGCGCCCACCCCTGGGCAGCCCATGCCCCCACCAGCCCCCGCGGCACCCGCCCTGGGCCGCGCCAGCCAGCCCATCTCGCCCAAGGAGGGGCAGGGGGGTGCGCGCCCCGGCCCCCCGCCGCCCCCCCAGTATTACAAGGCACCCGGCGGGCAGGGGGCAGAAGATTACCCCACACCCCCCTCACAGCACAGCTACACCCCCGGCCAGGACGGCACCCCCAAGCACTACCTGCACCTGCGCAGCGAGCACCCCTACCTGACGCCCTCGCCCGAGTCCCCCGAGCAGTGGGCCAGCCCCTCACCCCACTCGCTGTCCGACTGGTCCGAGTCCACCCCCAGCCCGGCCGTGCTGGGGCCCCCCCAGACCCTCTCCCACCTGCCCGACCAGTCCACCAAGATGCAGGTGTTTGCGTGAGGGCAGGGGGGAGGGAGCCAGGGCCCCGAGCCCCTCCCCCCAGCCCCCTGACCCCCTTCCTGGGGGAGCCCCTCACTCGCCCCCCGGGCCCCCCCCCCCCTGGACCCCCCCCCCCTTGTGTTTTTTATAAGAAAAATGTCAAATGTAAAAAGGAAAAGATCCCTCTCTCTGTGGGTGGGGGCTGTGGGCTCCCCCACAACTGCCATGGGGGGGCTCTAGCCATGCCCCGACCCCCCATCTCCCTGGCGGGGGGCGTTTGTCTTTTTTTAAAGAGTCTTTTGTATAGAAAAAAAAAGTCATTTAAACAAGCGCTTTATTTTTACAAAATATTATATGTAAAGTGTCCAGTAGGTGTTGCTAAAGCACCATAGGCGGGGGTGGGGCTGCAGGGGGGGGAGGGTGATCCCTGGCCTCCCCCCACTGTTGCTCGGTGGGCAGCGCGCCCCCCACGTTGGGGAGGAGCCCGCTCACTGTAATTGTGTACTGGGTATGCGGCGCTAGCCTGTGGCTGCTGCCTGGGGCACAGGGCCCCCCCCGCAATGCGGGGGGCTGAGCCCCCACCCCCAGCCCCCCTGCTCAGGGCCCTCCGCAATGCGGGGGGACTGAGCCCCCCACTGCCCCGAGCTCCCTGCCTGGGGCTGAGCCCCCCCAGGTCCCCCGCCCTCCCCGTCCTGTTTCTTGGCACTTCATCACATTCCAGGTTAATTTATTCCTTGGAGATGCCGCTGCTCAAGTGGGGCCTGTCTGGTGGGGGGCTCCAGCCAGCGGTGTGGGGCTGCCAGCTGCTCTCGCTGTTTGCCTCCCCCATGGCACCACTGCCACCCCCACCCTGGGCACAGCCGATTGGGATAGGCAGCACCTGTCCTCCATGGCTGATCCCACCCCCCTCTGCCCCACAATGGCAGCTTGCCCTCCCACGGGGGGGCCCCGCCCCCCGCCCGCGGTACGATGCCAGGCAGCGGACTGACAGCCAGCTGGGCTCCGGCCCCTCTGTACATTCCTCACATGGCTCGCCTGTCAATGGCTCTGGGAGCAGGGGCTGGGGAGGAGCCCGGTGGCCGGGCACAGCTCCTGCCACCCGCTGTAGCATAGAGGGGGCACGGCCCCCGCTCGTCACTCCTAGGACGATGTGTAGCTCATTTTTAAACTATTTTTTAAATCCCTGTTTAAATCAAGTAGCTTTGAACCAACTGGGCGCCGCTGTACAGAGCTTGGCCCTGCGCCTAACCTCCCTGGGACCCGCTGTACAGAGCCCACCCCGCACCTAACCCCCTGGGACCGGCTGTACAGGGGCCCTCACCCCCATCCCTGCCCCACACAACCCCCTGGGACCTGCTGTACAGGGGCCCTCACCCCCACACATAACCCTGCTGGGACCCACTGCCGAGCCTGCCCCTGCACATAACCCCCCTGGGACCGCTGTACAGGGGCCCCCATCCCTGCCCCTGCCCCCTGGGACCCTCTGTACAGAGCCCACTCTGCCCCTATCCCCCTGGGACCTGCTGTACAGAGCCCGGCCCCACTGCACCTAATAAAGATGTAGTTAACAAGGAACCTGTCTCTGCCCCCATTCTGTGCGCCTGTTCCCCCACCCCCCGTACGTGCGCCGTTTGCCATACCCAGGGCCTTGCCGTGGCTCTGGTTTGGGGTGGAGTGGCTGCTCTGGGTCAGCGCCAGTCCTGGGCTGATCTTGGTTGGTTATAGCAGCCTGTTTCCCTGGGGTCATCTGGGCTGGTCCCCTCTGAGCAGTTCATGGCCGCAGTGGCACCTGGGACTCTGTCGGAGGGGCTCCCAGCAGTTAGTTGTCTGCTGCCTGAAGTGCTGTGGTTGAGCGGTGGGGCCCTGGGGGGAGAGTGACGGCTGCGCACTCTATGAGGACAAACAGCAGCTGGCAGAAATGCCCACGTTCACCTCCTCCTCCCCGCAGCGCCCGCGCCCCCCCCCTCCCCCGTGAGCTCTGTGCCTAAACGTTCTCTCTGGGCTCAGGGAACTCACCCGCCTTGTGGTGGGGACACACTAACCCCCTTGCCTGCTGATCGTCCTCCAGGGTCTTCCCACGGTTCCACCTGCATGCCCAGCCGGGCAGAGCTGTTCCCCCCCAAGGCCCTGGGGTACAAGCAGAGAGGGCTCAGAACCCCAGGCTGTGCCCCAGATTTCCTGGGGGCGAGCGCAGCACCAGCGAGCCCCAGAATGTGAGAGCTGCTTGCAGCCAGGCACCCACTGGGCAGCCTGGAGGGGGGGCATGGCAGCTGTTGGCTTTCAGGAGACTGTGATTGTCCAGGGTTCAAAGCCGCTAGCCCCTTCAGTGTGACACCCCCGTCTCCACTCTGCCCAGCCTCTCAGGGGGTCTGACACCCCGTCCCCTGGGGGGATGCAGCCCCAACAGAAAAGAAACAAATGGGCGAGATCAGCTGAACGATTTGCATCTTCCCAGGATGTGTCAGGACGAGTCACACCCCAGCCCAAATCCTCGGCGCTTCCCCTCCCTGATTCATGGGCAGCTGCCGGGAGGGGCCACCTTCGACAGGCACCTTCTGCACCTCTGTTGTTTCGGTGGAGTCCACAAGCTGGGATGGACGTGGCTCGATCTGTCCTGATGGGGAATTCATGCCTGTCACAACTCTTCTGGCCTCAGTTTCTGCAGCCCCGTTCTCAGCGCTTGGGGCAGCCCTGAGTGGCCATGTCCATGCTCCCAGCTGTAAGTGCTGGTGTTCAGGTCCAGCAGGAGAGTGGGGCGAAGTGGGCAGGCCAAGGCCCATCTTCAGCTCGGCCCGATCCCATGCACCCGTCTCACCCCGGCAGCATGTCCCTGTCTCAGCCAACAGTGGCTCTATCAGCAAACCACAGATCAGCCTCCCGTAACCAGCGCCGAGCCCACAAACCGCTGCCGGCTGCACGGGACAGAAACGTTCAGCATATGCGCCGGGAGCAGCTCCAGCGTTAGCAGCTGAGGGCCAGGTCCCAGAACAAGGGTCACCCACCTGGAGCGTTCCCCTGGCCTGGCGAGGCAGGACAAGGTGGTCACTGCAAACCGCTGGCCTGCAGCCCGTCAGTCTCAGCGTGGCTACGGCTCCCAAGGGAATTCATCAGACACTGTTCCTGGCACCGATCACACTGGTCCAAGACAATTATTCGCTTCTCCATCTGGGCCCCCCAGCTGTCTCGCTGCCCTGCCACCAGGCCGGTCAGCAAACCCAGCTCTCCCCAGGTCCGAGAGCCCAGCTACCCAGTTCAGTTTGGAGTACCTAGGCCCTGGCTTTGTAGCATGGCTGGTCTCGTAACTGTTCTGTTTGAACCAGTGTCTAATACTGAACACCCTCCGCCCTCACCCCCCCAGCACAGATCCTGTAGCACGCAATCGCTGGACTCCCAGTTTTTGCTTTTCACGAGCTATGTCTTTGGTCCACGAGATCGGTGCTAGGCCCCAGCATTGAAACTGCCACATGGAGGAACCCTTCAGTTGGCTAGATGCCTAAGATGTCCCGCTCTTCCTCCCCGCCTCCGAGACTGAGCCCCGGGGCTCCAGCCCTCCTGCTGCACCCCATGAGCTCCGCCCGGTGCATCCAGCTGAGACAGACGCTTGGCCAGAGACTTGCCAACTCCTCAGGGCCCAGCACACCCCGGAAAGGATGTGCAGCAACACCAGGTGGCGTTTTCAAACAGAGTCGGGTTTATTAGTCAGCTGGAACCCAGCCTGGGAAGTCCCCAGGTTAGCGCAGAGAAGCAAAGGCTAAGACACCGTCCATCCTGGCCAAGCTAGTGCGCCACCCAGCCAAACAGCCGTGGACTCCATTTTTAGCCCTCTCCCCTTGGCGGTCCCTGGTGGGAGCTCAGAGTCATAGAATCATAGAATTGGGAGACACCTCAGGAGGTCATCTAGTCCAACCCCCTGCTCAAAGCAGGACCAACAGCAACTAAATCATCCCAGCCAGGGCTTTGTCAAGCCGGGCCTTAAAAACCTCTAAGGATGGAGATTCCACCATCTCCCTAGGTAACCCATTCCAGTGCTTCACCACCCTCCTAGTGAAATAGTGTTTCATAAATTAATGGAGATATCCTATCTCCTAGAACTGGAAGGGACCTTGAAAGGTCATCCAGTCCAGCCCCCTGCCTTCACTAGCAGGACCAAGTACCAGATCCCTAAGTGGCCCCCTCAAGGACTGAACTCACAACCTGGGGTTTAGCAGGCCAATGCTCAAACCACTGAGCTAGCCCTCCCCCCTAATATCCAACCTAGACCTCCCCCACTGCAACTTGAGACCATTGCTTCTTGTTCTGTCATCTGCCACCACTGAGAACAGCCGAGCTTCATCCTCTTTGGAACCCCCCTTCAGGTAGTTGAAGGCTGCTATCAAATCCCCCCTCACTCTTCTCTTCTGCAGACTAAACAAGTCCAATTCCCTCAGCCTCTCTGCATAAGTCACATGCTCCAGCCCCCTAATCATTTTAGATGCCCTCGGCTGCACTCTCTCCAATTTGTCCACATCCCTTCTGTAGTGGAGGTCCTCAAAACTGCACACAATATTCCAGATGTGGCCTCACCAGTGCCGAATAGAGGGAAGTAATCACTTCCCACGATCTGGTGGCAATGCTCCTACTAATACAGCCCAATATGCCATTGGCCTTCTTGGCAACAAGGGGGCACTGCTGACTCATATCCAGCTTCTCGTCCACTGTAATCCCCAGGTCCTTTTCTGCAGTACTGCTGCTTAGCCAGTTGGTCCCCAGCCTGTAGCGGTGCATGATGTCACAGAGTGTGGGGGGACACAAGGCCCTGTACCCCCAGCTTCCTGCGATTCACCATGACTCTCAGCCAGCCAGTAAAGCAGAAGGTTTATTCAGACGACAGGAATACAGTCCAAGACAGGTCTTGCAGACAACAGGACCCCCCTCAGTTAGGTCCATCTTGGGGTCCCAGGGCCCTTGGGAGGTCAGAGCCCCGTCTGCCTCCCAGCCATATCACCAGCCAGTTCCTGAAACTCCCCCTTCAGCGATCCCTCCCACAGCCTTTGTTCAGTTTCCCGGGCAAAGGTGTCACCTGGCCTCTAACCCCTTCCTGGGTTCTCA